CTGATATGCTAGGGATCCTTGGTGAACACTTACCAAAGTTATTTCGGTAGGAGAGAACGCACTATATTTATATTCAGCGCTCCAAATCACCTCATTGTGCAGGGCTTTGTTTTCACGTAGTCATCGATAGCAAAAATTGTTTTTTAGCACCTTAAAGTCACAAAAACGCGTAGTTTTGCTAAATAATTAGATCTAAATGATAAACGGGATCAGATACAGGTGGAACGACTTCGGATTCGGTATTAACAGCCGAAAATACCTGGAATAAAGGTCATTTGACCCGCATTTAAAACATTTTAACATATAATTATCATGGGTCACTCGGGAACGTGAACGCAACATGTCTTATAATACGCTTTTTTGGGTCGTTGAAACCGAATCCATGGCCCGTTCAGTCCGAAAATGCTTCGTTTTCGGGTACTGGCAAGAATTCAACTTTGTCAAAAAGCGATTAAGAAAAAATATATTAAAACTGTTGCGCGTCTGTCATCCAGATGGAAGCTTGTTTTCTGGGTAAATCGGATACGTAGATTCCAAATTCGATGTCGATACAGTGCTAGAAATTACGGCTAGCCTGGAAAGACGGTTTCCAGACAACTTTTCACCTTAAATCCAGTCTGATGACACTTTAGAATTTTTTCACTATGATATTCATATTCAGCGCCCCAAATCACCTCATTGTGCAAGGCTTTCCTTGCATGTAGTCATCGATAGTAAAAATTGCTTCTAAGCACCTCAAAGTCGTAAAAAACGCGTAGTATTGCAATTTTTCGCTAAATAATTACATCTAAATGATAAACGGGATCTGATACAGGTAGGACGACTTCGGATTCGGTATTGACAGCCCAAAATAAGTGGAATAAAGGTCATTTGAACCGCATTTAAAGCATTTTATACACTTTTATCAATATGAACAACTAGAGCATTCTCAATTGACCTTGAAACCAATGGAAAGGCGTCTTTGAAGTAATGGACCTAATGAATTTGGTCTGGTTCTTGTAAAATGTCTCAAAAGCTAGAAAAAGGTTTTACGATTGGTCTAAGACCGTACAATCTTAAGAAGTACCTCATATATCGTATGATTAACCTTATGTTGTATGCTTATGGTTTGGCCGGGAAGGGGGATACTACACCTATTCTATTTACGAGACGAGGCCGGTACATAATTACCATGGATTTCGCTTCTATAATCCAGATAACGTTGGCGACAGGCAGTGTGTATTTTCATCTTTATTGTGGCTAACTTTATACACTTTTATCAATATGAACAACTAGAGCATTCTCAATTGACCTTGAAAAGCCCCATATCGATCATATCAAGCTCCACGTATATTCAAAGATGCATACAGGTATGTTGAAAGTGTGCTTTCGGCAACTCATAAGCATAGCCTAGGCTTGGTCTCTGGGAGAACGAGCAAAAACATGGCAAATATCCTCTATCCAGTCCGATGCACGATCTATGGTCATATTTCGATACAGTCCAATTCTTTTCTTTCTTGCTACTGACATTACTCATGAAACGAAACACTACTGCTGCGTGGTCATTTCTGGTTGCGAAATCTAATCCGATACGCGACTCGCTTCAGCGATGAGGTCGGAATCGAGAGTAGCGCTGCGTGTTATCGACTGATCCCGCTGAGAAACGTCCGGACGTCTTGCGATTTATTTTAAGTTTGCTTTTCGCGAATTGGCTAGTCTGCAAAGCCGTTTGAGGATCCCGACGGTAACCCGATGTGTATACATTGCTTTGCGATGTCGGGAAGGAGATAGCAAGGTCGGATTAATGTGGGAGACGTCAGTAACGTACGGAATTGTGTTTCTGAAGGAGTCAATTGACTCGATTTGTCTGAACCAATGAATTTGGATCGGTCAAAAGAAGACACGTACATATTTACACTGCATAAACAATTATCGTCAGTGTCAAAAACGGCCTCCATTTCTGCGGAGAAACTCGCATGTTAATCTCCCCAGTACGATGGCGTCCTTGATTTTCATAGCTTTTACTGTCCTGCGGAAAGGCGCTATATTTTGGGGTTATGTTACAAATATCTATTTGCAAATTGTTCCTGCTTTTGTTTTTTACCAACTGTTTTATTTGCCTGAAATTTCAAAAAGAAAACATAAAAAGAAGAGCGCTGACGCTGACACGGCACAGTAGAAATCTAGCGTTTCTGAAGAAGCGAAAATACTATGAATTATTTACAATAATCGGAAAAATATTGACTTTGGTATGTATTCTTCGCTGCTGCTAAATTCTCACACCATTGCGTTTTGAGTCTGAACAGTGTTAAATGAAACTTTTAAGAAAACTGTAAAACGAAATCTTTTCGCACGGATATTTTTAGATACTTCGATTCAAAAAATCAAAATATACAACCTCAAAATTAAATTTTCCCATTCTTAATTGATTTGAATCGGTTATGCTAAGTGACATATAAATCCGAACACCCAGTTTAAATGGTTTTATTTTAATAAAAGTTGGTGAATGTATGTATCTTGCTGTAATGTTTTGGTTCTTGACATCCTTTACGATCGGTTACGATGCCTAGAGTACGGATACCTGTACGATTTCGTCAACTTAGTGAGTTTGATAGGGGCCGTATAGTGGGACTTCGGGAAGCTGGACTTTCTTTTCGGGCAATTGCAGTTAGAGTGCAAAGAAGTGTAGACACTGTGGTTAGGTGTTGCCAGGCATGGCTTCGAGAAGGCCGTACGCAAAGAGCAAGGGGCACTGGACGCCGCCGTAGAACAACAGACCGTGAAGATCGCCGCCTAAGATTATTGGCCTTAAGGGACCGTTTCTCCACTACCAGGTCCATTGCAAATGAATGGTTTGCAGAACACGGAAGACCTATTGGCATGCGAAGTGTTTACCGACGAATGAGAAGTTTTGGCTTGTTTTCATACCGGCCACACTGGGTCAACCTTTAACTCGAGAACACCGACGTAATCGCCTTGAGTGGTGTAGACAACGGTCACTCTGGGATCTGGAATGGAACAGTATTGTCTTTAGTGACGAGTCTCGATTTTGCATGCACGATGGTAGTGCCAGGGTTAGAAGGCGACGTGGTGAAAGGAGGAATCCACAGTTTATTGTTGAAAGACATGTTCATCACACTGTTGGAGTTATGGTTTGGGGTGCTATAGCTTATGGTTCCAGGTCACCTTTAATCTTCATCAGAGGTAACATGAACGCGCAGCGTGATATCCACGAAGTTCTAGAACCCCATCTTTTACCCTATCTTGACACCCTGGCAGATCCAACTTTCCAACAAGATAATGCCGGACCACATGTTGCAAGAGTCACAATAGACTTCTTTCAACATAATGGTGTGACATTGTTACCATGGCCACCAAGATCTCCCGACTTATCCTCAATTGAGCACGTGTGGGATATGATGGGTAGGAGATTGCTCAATTTGCAACGTCCTCCTCAGACTCTAGAAGCACTTCGAGAGGAGTTGGTGGTTGCCTGGAATGAGATACCACAGGAGGACATTGACCACCTGTTCAGAAGCATGCCTAGGCGCGTTGAAGAATGCTTAGCACATCAGGGTGCATCCACACATTATTAAAGGTCAAAGGGCTTTAAAGCAGTGCAATCATTTTGAAATTTTTATCATTTACTTATTATGCTTCATTAAGTACTTATACAAAATTTTATTAAAATAAAACCATTTAAACTGGGTGTTCGGATTTATATGTCACTTAGTATACATACTATTTTCGAAATGACTGCTTTCAATTTATTAGAATAATAATGGTAGTAATTGCAAAGCAATAAACAGGTAGGCTTAGGCTTATGCAAGCTAATGATCCCATTACAAAGAATATCTGCTTCAGTGATGAATGCACATTTTATCTAAATGGATCTGTTAATAAGCATAACTGCAGGTACTGGAACAATGAAAATCGTCATGCTTTTGTAGAAGGGCATACCTACCTCAAAAAATTAATGTATGGCCAGGCATTTTAGGGAACAAAGTGATTGTGCCATTGTTTATTAATGGCCATTTGAATGGAGACATTTATTTGGATATGTTAGAAAATACCAGCAATCCGCTTATCAATGAAACCATTAAAAACCAAATCGAAGCGGACGTAAACCCTATACTTGATGAGGCTGAAATATATTTCCAACAAGACAGTGCTCCTCCTCTCTATGTTCTTCAATGGCTAGACGACGAGTTTCCAGATAAATGGATAGGGCGAAGAGGGCCTATAGTATCGCCTGTTAGATCTCCTGATTTGACGCCATTAGACTTTTTTCTACGAGGCCATTTGAAATCTATTGTGTTTACTCCCCAATCTGAAAGTTGGGATTAACTTCGTCAATGCATGTTTTTGAAAATGTCCGTCATCGTTTATATCATTGTTTGGCCAATAACCGGCAACATTTTGAACACTTATTGTAATAAAAAGTGATATTTCCGCGTGTTGTAACAAATTAAGATAAATAAAGACTTTCTCTAATTTTCTTGAAAACAAATCGATCAAAATAAAGAACTTTGAAAGACCTTCCAAACAAGCTATTGCTCTTACCCTTGTCATTCAAAAATGTTAAGGGGACGACCCTGGGGGCAGAGGGTGAAAGGGGATGAAGTAGTTTTTGGTCAAAAAATTGTCCTCGTTGACAAATGTATATTTTTGTAAACCTTATTAAGTTTCCAATCAAACGGGAAAAGATAAATAAGATGTCTCACTGGAAAAAACTAAGTTTGATTCATAGCTAAAAATTGACAGATCACAGTAAAAGTTGCGTAAGGGCCAGTTCTTAGCTCTACGATATGTTGGGAGATATGAGGCGAGTCCCAAAAAGCAATATTTCCAATTTCACCCTGTATCACAGAAACGAAGGGAGCTATGAAAATTATATTTATACCATCTGCTTTTTCACAAAAGTGTAGCAGTATTGCAAAAACCTCAACTCTCTATCTTTACTCGTAAGCGGGACACCTCGTACTCGTCACGAACGAAACTAATCCTTTTTCTGATTTCAGAGACTGTCATCGCAGCGCAACTACAGCTCGTACTCGTTGAGGCACAATTCGTGCGAGCAGACGTACATATAGCATACGGCCCCCGCACCATCCGCATCCAACCATCACCATTACAACCACCATCACCATCATCGGTCCGTTGGAATGGAGATTGCGTCCAGCCTCCCTTTCACTCGATCAACGTCCCTGTTCTATTTTTAGAGCCTTAGAGACCTTTCGTCCGTCGATATGGCTCACTCGATGCACGATACACAAATCACCCCGGTGACGCCCACATGTTGATGATTTGCTCATGGGCGCTGCCAGCTAATTGACGAGGTGAAACAGACATTCTCCATCACGATTATTTTCGTAATCAAGCTTATCGGATGCTCCTTACCATCAACTGGGGCTTGGGGCAACGATGTAACTAAGGCCAGATTTTACTATTACCAATAGAAAGGCGTCTTTGAAGTAATGGATCTAATGAATTTGGTCGGGTTCTTGTAAAATGTCTCGAAAGCTAGAGAAAGGTTTTACGATTGGTCTAAGACCGTACAATCTTAAGAAGCACCTCATATATCGTATGATTAACCTTATGTTGTATGGTTATGGTTTGGCCGGGAAGGGGATACTACACCTATTCTATTTACGAGATGAGGCCGGAACATAATTACCATGGTTTTCGCTTCTATAATGCAATTCCAGATAACGTTGGCGACAGGCAGTGTGTATTTTTTTCATCTTGATTGTGGCTTTTTTTATTTTATCGCTGATAAATGTCATCATCGCCTTTTTTTGTTCCTGTAAACACGCAATGTGAATCCAGCAGTAAATAAAGAATAGAATTCAGCTACCAAAACGTCTTAGTAAACAATTTTACGCACATTCCACCAGTCTAAAAGAACGATTTGTGTTCCACTCGAAACATGGATACTAGGTTGACATCACGCCATTACTGAGCGTTTCATTGGGAATACGCTGTACAAAATCCTGCTTGATGAATTCTTTGAGGATATGAATAAATAAGTACAGAATGCTTATTCTTTAACAAACAATATCTAGAACCCTGTTCCTCAAGCCAGCCCTGTTATTCTCAACTGGGAGTTGTCACGCACTCTACTGGACGGTAAAATGACTAACACGACCACGATGTGCAGCGATGATGGTGATAATTCTAGAAGTAGTCATCCTAATGTCCAGTAGAGGGCGCAAGAGTTAACTGTTCACAGGGCTGGCTTGAGGAAAAGGGTTTTTCGCATGGTAGTAGAGTAAATTGAATGTTTGTTAAAGAAAACTTTGTACAGCAATAGTATGACACTGTTATTTTTAATAAAATGCTGATTTAGTTGATACCAAAGAGATTTTAGAGATTTGCATAAATGGTTCTGTTTCATTGGTGCATTTTATGAGGCTCATCTCATACGAACCACATAATTTATTTGTCTTTAGTTTGAGAGACATTTTGTATCTAATGAATATGGTCGATTCCTTGTAAAAAGACGCCTTCTGATTGGCTGAGTTTGTGACCCAAAGGCTTTTTTGTAGTAAAATCGGACCCAAGTGGCATTGAGTATATTTCGAAAAATTTGAGGTTATCAGTTTTCAAGTCCTGCAATCAAGTTTCTTGCTAAATTTCCACTGAGATGTTGCAATAGGTTTACATCTTGGGGAACAAAGAATCAGTGACACCAGAATGTATAAAATATAAGGCAAATGCATAAAATAAATTTATTTTTGAAAACAAAATGTGCAAGCGTAATCTAAGTATGGTTTGTTTTCATTGTGTTCACTCTCAAAGTTGAATCAGCACTCTTCTCTAAATTTATCGGATTCCGTGTCTCTTTCGTAGCTCTGGGGAGCAAAGCCTGTTGACACAGCGGTAGAAAAGAGCTAGAATAATGATGGACCGTCGCACAGTGGCCTGGTACGCCCAAAAAGCTGACAAAAAGTCAAAAAATGAAGTAATGAAACTGAATGGAAATGATGTATTTGAAAGTTGTTACTAGGAATAATTAGTTGGCCATGGAAACAACACCTTGTTTACACTATGAGAGATCGTCACACTTGCAAATTCACGATTTTTCGATAAATTGCGAAAAAAATTTAAAAAGAGATATGTTTTTTGAATGTTATATGAATTATACCCGGTGAACCAATAATAAAAGATACCGGCTCTAAAATATCTTATAATAAGGATAGGCAAGAGAAAAAAAGACAAGAATAATACATCTTCAATGTTACCAGGATGCCGTATCAGTTTAGTATACACATTCACCATTTTTCGCAAACAAAGAAAACATTTTTAAAACAAGATATGGCTTTTGAATGTCATATGACATATACCCAGTGGACCAATAACGAGGGATGCCGGCTGTATTTTGCCAAAATATTGTATAATAGCAGTAAGCAAGAGAAAAAACAAGAATAATGCATCTTCAATTTTACCAGACGGCAGTTTAGTGTGAGCATTCACCATTTTTTGCAAACCGCGAAAAAATTAAATGGAGATGTTTTTTGGATGTTAAGTATATGACATATAGAGACACCAAGTCTATTACGGCAAAATATCTCATAATAAGGGTAGGCAAGAAAAAACACAAGAATGATGCATCTTCAATTTTACCAGAAAGCCGCATCAGTTTGGTGCGCATTCATCATTTTTTGAAAGCCGCGGAAGATGTGATTTGATGATATAATAAAGCACGCCTCGTGTATTTAAGCAACATATCTTATAATAAAAGTAGACAAGAGAAATTGCTATAAATTATTTACAGCTTCCTAAAATGGCTGCTAGGTAGCGTCACTAATTTCAAAAATTCAAACGCCATTATTTTGCAAAAAATCATAATTAACATACTCATTAAATTGCCTTATGGTGTAGATTGTTCAATTTCCTAACTTTTCTGCTAAGTCACTTTCTCATATTCTGGTTTCTTTAGAGTGGGTTGAATGTATATCTCATTTTTTGCAACAGCATATATGACATGTTTGACTGGTGGGTTCAACAGCGTTTCCAGGAGACAAGGAAAAACTAGCGTTACCATTATCAAACGTGTGGGGACTATGGAGTATGGACTAATTATATATGGGCCTGTTTGGCTGACTTGATCAAATTTTTTGTTATTCTTGTTTGTAGCTAACTCAAAGGAACTAACTTGAGCCGAGAACGATCCTTTATGAACTAACTGATTCCAGCGTGGCCTTGAAAGTGAAGAGTCATCCTACATGGTGCCATTTTTTGTCCGGCTATCTCTATGTGTCAATCAAGGCTTTCGTGCTAAAATATAGTAATCATAAATCGACATCATCACCGTGAATTTAATTCTGCAAATACACAGATAGGTAAACATGATGATATGAAACAAATTCGATCATTTCTATGATCATCCTACATGTCTCGCTAATGCGAAAGAGCTTGAACCAAAACAACTTATTTTTACAGTGCTATGATTGTCAATATGTGTTTGTTTCAACTCCATGTTTTCAATCTCTTTTTAACCCCTCATTGTCAATATTTTGTACGTCACACTGTCGGCTCTATGCAATTTTTTTCACTTCCCAATAGGCGAATGCTATTTTGACTGAGCTGCCAATAATCCAGCCTTGGATGCATTTCATGCATAGTCAATTGGAAATTTTGGTACGGATACTGCAATGACGACGATGCTCATGAAGCTAGGCAAACAATATGTTGGAAAAACAAAATAACGAATTCGATATTTCATCATGGCAGAAGGTGACATAACAGCTAAATCTTCATCTAAATCTTATCCTTTGGTTATGCGTCATGATACATCTCCATGATTTCTGACAGTTAAATAAAACTACATAATACATACATAGTAATACTGAATTTGTCTATTAGGGTTAGGTAAGTAATTGATCATAATTTCAGAACAATACAATCATTGAAAATAATGTGAGAAATTAGTAATTTGTTGAACCTTTTCGGTGCCTTGTGCCCTCAGAAATACGACTGAGCAGCCTCCGAACCACGTCATCGATGTCTTCTTGAGGTATCTTATCCCAAACTACAAAAAACACCACCCTATTTAGACTTCTGTGTATCCTGGTAGCTATGTTCCTAAAGGATTAACCAGCCTCACACAAGCCTACTATTCGCCCCCTGTCAAACTCTCTAAGCTGTTGATAATTTTGTTTGTTGTTTTGCTGACAGATTGAAGCTCCTCTTTACAACGTTTTGAATGATGATCAAATGCCAATTGTAGCTTCAAAACACGACTCACACTAACTTACTTGTTTTGCAATATCAGGCCACCACAACGACTACTTAATCGATATGGTTGAGGAGTTCGTTGTCATAGCCTAAACAAGCATATGCCTAGAGAATCTTTGTAAAAAAAATAAAAATATATTTCATATTTATATGTATCGGAGCTACAGTTTCTTAACACATTGCGATCCACTTTGGTTGAGCATCCTCGAGGAGATGATGTAATGGATATAGTTCAAATCAACTACTGAACCATAAGTTTTCTTCCCACTTTTTTTATGGTTTGTTATTTTGTCTCAAATGCGCAAATGTTTTACTTGGTCACCTGAAGGCCAAACCACTGTGTCTTATATTATTTTATTAAGATAAGCAACGAGATGCTCTTTGGTGTCAATTCGCATTTTGGAGTCTGACAGAAATTATGTTCTGTGGTCGTGCTTTGTTATTACCTTCTTTACTAATCCAAAAACGCTTTTATATTCATTGCATTTTTCATTTCGTATATTTCATTCTCAAGATTACCTCTCAGACTCGGTGTTAGGTTTAAGTATCTTATTCGAATACGGACCTGCTCCCCACCAGACACATTACTACCAACAATACAGACCTCGGTATAAAGATGTCACTTGTAATCAACTGTTCGCGCCAATATAGACGCCAAATCATAAAGGAATATCGAGAAAAATATTTTACGTAATTGTGCTAGACTTTTCGTGGAGCTATGTGGTTAATATATATTATTTTGTTGATAAAATCGATGAATAATCATTTTTTAGGAAAATTCATGTAGCGTACATTATAGCTATAAGTGAACTTGGGGAAAATGAAAACGCTTATCTAAAATAGGGTTTTTACTTATGAAAGTTACTATATAGCGATACAGACTCGCTTATATGCGCGATTTGAATAGTGTGTCGTAATGACGTATGATTGTATGGCACATTGCTCCTCTAAGAACTTGGTAAAATACA